ATTACATTACATTACATTACATTACATTACATTACATTACATTACATTACATTACATTACATTACATTACATTACATTACATTACATTACATTACATTACATTACATTACATTACATTACATTACATTACATTACATTACATTACATTACATTACATTACATTACATTCGAATCGAGCTTCGTTCTCCATAACCTTTTCGTGCATCGGCTCTATGATGCTGCCGCCTCGCCAGCCTCGCGTCTTCACTCGGCTGGCTCGTTGGCAATTAAGTATATGCTCTGATCTGCTTCAGTTGGATCAACAAAGTTCTTGAAATCGAGTTTTATTGCATGGGAAAATGGCGTGCGGTGAACGTTTTGAGTGCATATAGATAGCATGTATTTATTCTAATGTGTTTCACCTTGGTTATTTTTCATGTTATCCAAAATATAAGTTGTGTGCATTTCGCACTATGGCATATGCTAATGTTACGTCTTACGTTGTTTCTTTAGTGACAGCAGTGTTTACATCCAGGATGTAGGTAAAGTGTACCGCAACCGCTTGTATGATGGAGTTACGACAGTACTGAGTTCACCAGGTCAACTTAAGTTCTACTCATCTTTTTCAACGCGTCGACTGATTATTAATAGACAGTATGGCAAGGGAATGCGAGTAAAGTACTTTTCCTATAATGAACCAGGTAAGTAAAATTGTCACGTGACGCGAGGTTTATAAGCCGCATAGGAAATATATTCTGATTATCATGCTCGTAGCGATGTTCTTCAGTGAAGGCACGTGGAAAAACGGGAGTTGATGTCGGTGCACACCATAAAAGTCATTTAGAAGTCTAGACATAACACTTTCCCATAACCTGCTCTTTTATAGTGCCTCTTCTAAACAATTGGACCATATCACTCTCGAGCTACAACTATAACAGAATCACTGCAAACTGGACTCAAATTAATGTTAGAGGCTATGGTGTTTTTGGATTTTTGATATCTTGCAATTCAACACAAGATTGGGCTAACGAAGCAGTTTATGGGTTTGGAGAAAGCAATTCAACATCCGCGACTTGTAAAGGGCTGATCGGGTACACTAACTATGACGTGTACGTGTTGGTGATGTTAAAGAATGAAGAGACTGGGACGTGTACGGCATACAAGAGTTTAATGGCGTCAACAAAAACTCCTGAATCATGTAGGTTCTTTGTAAATAATTAAGCTTCAATTCACTCAAAGTAATTCTATCATAATTTTACCATCTTTTTTTTCCTTTCTTTGTTGTTGTTGTAATCGTTATTGCTGTTGTTGTTCTTCCCTTTCTTCCCTTGCTTCGTCTTCTACTGCTATTTATCCTTAACTTTCCACCTTAAATGTTCCCCATTCTTCCAATTATTATTTTTTATTTACCTTCTACAGGTCCTTTCTTAAAATAAAATCTATTGAAAGATTATTTACTTGTTCTGTTTTTATTACTTGATCACGCTTTTAGTCAGAAACGGCATATGTTAAATATCTAGTTAATTTGCCATTTTTTCTTAGCCCCAAGTGTTCTCCCTCAAAGAGTTTACAGCACTGATATTACACCAAATTCAGCAGTTATTGGCTGGAAGCCACTCCAAAGAAAAGATACTCATGGGGTACTTCTCGGATATACTGTAAAACTTTACCGTGATTTCACTGATACTTATGACAAAGAAATAAAAACTAATGATACATCGGTGGTATTTAAAGATCTTTCACCTGCCAACGAGTATAAAGTGGAAATTAGAGGCTACACTGCAGCTGGAACAGGACCATATGCATATCGTTTTTTTTCAACAAGTAAGCATATCAAACTTATTGCCATACATCGGATGACATTTGCTTAGATGTCTTAGACTAGATCTTTTGATATGTTATAAATGAAGAGGCCGAAAAAGAGCACAAATACGGTATTTTTTAAAAGAATATATCGGTTTATCGGTCATTAGGAAAGCAAAAACCTTTAAAAAAATATTTAGGATTTTGCTCTCCGAAACGGCCTGGGACTCTTCAAGATAGCTTTTACCGTTCAATAGCCTTCATAAGAATAATCAAAAACACAGGCATAAATCGCTCAAAATTGAAGGAAATGGCCTGAAAATTCACAGAAATGTAAAAAAAGAAAAATTACAAAGGTAGATATGTAAATAAACGGATATCGATGTTTATCGAAAATGTACATCGGTCCATATATGGAATTCGAGCGGCAGGTCCTACTGCAACAGCTTTTCATCTTATCCAGATTTTGATTAGAGTGTCAAATAGAAGATTTTGCCTGGGCGCGCGGAGATACGGATGTTCGAGTATTGAAAAGATGAGGAGGCATAGCGAAAGAGCGAAGAAAATAAAGAAATTCGTATCCTCATGCGACCATATAATGGTCTGTACTTTTATCATATAATTTCCTCTGAAAGGACATTATTGTGTAGTAATAGAAGAGTCTAGAATTAAATCTAGATATATCATGGATAATTATTGGCGATAAACATGGATATCCGTTTATTTACATTTTTAATCAATCATATCAACAAAGTCGAATTGCCATTGTGTTTAGGATAACGGCACGTTTTACTTTTTAATTTTTTGGCCGTGATTCAGGGTCTGAATGGGGTTAACCGACTAGCGACAAATGGACAAAATAACTACTGACTAGCGACAAATTTGAACCAAATTTGCTGACTACGGACATTAACAAATTTTCCGCGGAAAAAATAAATTTTGCTTCGGATTGGCTTCTTGAAGTTGTGATGAACCACTCTAAAACTTTAAGGGCATCCAATTGAACAATCAAGACTCAATGATTCAATTGTTGGAATTTTAGAAAGAATTCTGTTGGTATAAAGCACCGCTTTAGATGCATTTAAACTTAATGTTTATCAACTTTTTTTAAATAACCGACTACCGACAAATGCCTAGAATTTGAACTGACTACCGACATTGAGACCCCCCCCCCCCCCCCCCCCCCCCATTAAGACCCTGTCGATTGTTCATGATTTAACAGAATGTGGAGGTACTATAAAAAGACAACTGTATGGCAAGATACAACTTGCAAATGCTACCGATTGGTCTGCTTCCTGTATTTGGAAAATTATTGCACCCACTCCAAACACGCTGATCGTATTCAATCTTGAATCGCTGGATATACCATTATCCTTTGGTTGCAAGTAAGGCACTAATGCGCATGTTGTATGTCAAAAAATAAATAAATAGGCGATATGCATTATGGCGTCATTTACTACAACTACCAGAATGCTTTGCCAACTTTCTTTTGTAATGCAATTAGTGCCAATTGTTTTATTAGTCTCCAAGGGGATTAAAAATCTGAATAACAATTAAAACTGCGCAAGGCTCTCTGGTAGTTGTAGTAAAGTTACGTCATAATGCAAACGGCATATTACCTCATTAGGAACTAGTCAGCAATTAAAATTAAAATTTAAAATTAAAATTTAAAAATTTTGATTGGAAATGGAGGGACTCATCCAATCAATGGGAATAAAAGTTTCTTTGCCCTCCCCTTGCACAGAGAATAAAATGCTATATAAGCGCTTTCGCGACTGCTTACAATCGATTTGACATATTTAAACTATAAACGTAAACGCTGCATGAATGTAATTATAATGTATAGTTTAAAACACGTTCTCGAGTGTTTTAAACGGCTTCAAAAACTCCAACACTAATTTGAAACTCAAATCCGTTAAAATTCTTGGAGAATTTGCTGTAAAAATAAGTTTTGGGATAAATGGGGCAAACTGATCATGCTCGAATCACTTTACAAAGCACTCTTGTCATCGTCCCACATTGAATACGCATAAAGTAAAATAGAAGCGCATGTGACCAAATAGGCTCATTCTATTGAGCTAATAGCTCATTAATTATGTATTTGAGTTTTTGAAATATATCATAATACTCRATGTTAATTGCTTCCCCTAAGGGACTCCTACTTGACCATTAAGGACATCAAAGGAAATTCAGCCCATGGAAGATTGTGTGGCTCAAGGCATTATTTGTCTTTTGTCTCATTTGGCTTTGCTGAAGTAAAACTTTATTTTAGAAGATCACGAAGGTCGACCCATATGACCTCCTCTTTCTTCATGCTTGAAAATGGACTTGAAAATGGTAAGGTTTTACTTTTCAGTGTTTTCACATTATTCAAATATTTCGTTTATGGCTGTCTCATCTAACTTGTACAATGGATTATATTAACAATTAAGAAAATGAAATCAAAACTTTTCAGCTTTTTTAACGTAACTTAGAAGATTAGTTCATGGCTGTCTCTTTTCATTTGTACCTTGTATCAGACTTAGCAGCAATGCTTGTTTATTCTTTGGTCAAAAACCTAATATTGGATATCAGTAAACCGCTTGTCGATTGGATTCGATCGGATTTCAAAATCATCTCAACTATGAACTAGTCTGTACCCCCTTTCCAAGATASGAAGTAACTGTGCAAAATTGCTTTGATGAAATAAAGTCTTGGAAAAATCATGTCAACGAATAACACCAGTGCAAAACACTAGTTACAAAACACAAGTTGTCTTTAAAAAATCAAAGGAGTTACGCAAATACCGGGCACCTTCACAATTACACAATTATCTGTATTTTTTACGTGTCTCCGACAGTCATCAACTAAGAGCTTTCAAATGGAGACTCTTATTTGAAAATACTCGGGATGGCCAAACAACAATTTTTTTGACTATTGTTTTGAGCTATTTATTATCACATTTTTAGTTCCATCCATCAAGTCATGGAAAGTTTCGTCCTCCATTAACAGTTCAACATCAGTCAACGTCAGCTGGGATAAATACCCAGGAAAAGAAAGCGTCAGCAAATATGTTGTGATTTGCACTGCTAATAATCAGCACAGAAACATTTCAGTCTCCTCAACTGATGGAAAAAACCTTAGTTCGGTGGTTCAAAACATGTTGAAAAACACTGAATATAGAGTAGTGGTACTGGCAATTCTTGGAAATTCCTCGTTTTTYAACTTCACAAACGCTAATRTGACTATGYACAAAAGTCAAGAAGTTGTTGTAAAAACTGCTGAAGATGGTAAGTTAAGCATCAGAATCTCATATCACATGATTAAATCGCGCGCTGATTGGTCCAAAATGACRAATATTTGACGTACATAGTAAAGTATTCAGCGCGGATTCCATCGCTTTGGAAGCTGAATTCAATGAAAAAYCAGGTATTTGATTTTTATTGTTGAAAATTATACTGTAAATAGAACTTCAGTAGCTAATATTTGTTATTTATTTTTTATCTATATTACTTTCTATAGTTCCAGGTAAACCTCCTCAAAATGTAAAAGCGAAGAACTTGGGGCCAAATACTGTAGTTGTCAATTGGAAGCCTGTTGACAATGAGTTCACTAATGGTGTAGTTGTTGGAYACTATGTTTACTATCAAGTGGCATGGAAAGGTTTAAGTTTTTGGAAGAAAGAATACATAAAGTCTAATGAAACAAAGGTCTATCTCAAAACTTTGAAGAGTGCTACACGGTACAGGATCGAATTGGCGGCCGCCACAAAAATTGGCGAAGGTCCAAGAAGCAGAGGAATATTCATCACAACAGGTAAGGCGTCATTGTATGCACATAATTACATTATTTGGTACGGATTTTACATTTAGACTATTAAACGAGGCAACGTGTTATCTACATTACGTTTAATTTACATTTAAAAAATGGCGAAGAAAGAGACCGGTAAAATTTTTCAGACTATAAAATGGTGTTCATGTCTATGCTCTTTGCTCATAAGAACGTTAATATCATTAATATCAGATAATTTTAAAGATGGCTATAATTGTTTTATCTCTTTTATATAATATATGCAAACATGGAATATGATTTTGCACTAAAAAAACATACTAGACAATCTTAGTTAACGATGTTTTTTTTTTTTGGAATATCATATAAAGGATGCAGCCAGCGAACTCTAACTGACAAACGTGGGATATTCGCTTCACCTAACTTTCCAAGTAACTATCCATCAAATGCACACTGTACTTGGAGAATTTCTCCGCTTACCTCAACACAAAAAATCGTGATTATATTTGAAGACTTTGATGTCGAAGAAGGCTATAACGGAATTTGTAGGTATGCTGATACGAATTAGGCCTTTGCTTAAATGTAGAACTGTAGGTAGCACAGTTTTAGTGTCATCCTCTCGTGATAAGTGTACCAACTCAAGTACATCTTTTTAATAAAAATCGATGACTCTTCGCCAAAGCGTTTGATTGCACTTGGTGGAAAGAAGTTTTCAAGTATGTATGCCTGAAGTCATGATGGAGTGAGGATAGTTTGCAAGTCTCTGAAATTATTAAATGCTGAAACCTGCAGGCTGTAAAAGTCCTGTTATTGCTGGTATTCCAGTAAATCTTATGGCCAGGCATCCTACTGGACCCATCTGAAATATTCATTCATTATT